GTGTGTGTGTGTGTGTGTGTGGAGAGGTTTTTGCTATAGGGCACGTGCGCCCCCCAGAAAGACAGAGAGGTAAAGTGAGAAATCAGCCCCCTGAGGGGATGAACACACCACAATCCCTTTTCCTCTTAGGATTTTGGGCATGCACACACAGGCGTCTGGCATGTTTTTCAAGCCACCGGGTCTAGGACTCAAACCAGGAGTCAGCCATATTGGATGTAGTGTCTTTTTTTTTTTTTTGGAGAGTTTCTTTTTTTTTTTTTCTTTTCTTTTTACTTTTTTTTGGCTATAGGGCTGTGCACTCGCCAGAAAGACAGAGAGAGAGAGACAGACAGAAAGCAAGAAATCACCCCCCAGGGGAGATGGCCATGCCACAATCCCTTCTCCTCCGTTCTCCTCTCAGGATCTTGGGCACGCATGCACATGCACCCGGCATAAGTTTAAACTGCCAGGCCCAGGACTCAAAGCACAATCGACTACATGGGAGTCCAGTGACATAGCCATTACACCAATTACTGGTCCTGGATGTAGTATCTTAACTGCCACACCACCTGCTGGCCCAAAGAACTGCTTTTTAAGTTACGCACCAAAAACAAACAAACAAACAAACAAACAAACAAAACAAACAAAAAAAACCCCTAGCTTCCCCAGGCCATGTGTGTTGGCACTGCCCATGTGGCCTTCAGGAGCAGGTACCATGGGCATATGTTGCACCTCTGTTAAATGTCTCAGCTTCGCTATGCCCCATAGTTTGGGTTCTGGCCAAGTATTTAACTTTATGGCTGCTTCACCAGCACATCTGAAGTAAAAGGGGACTGCATTTCTTCTTGTTGGGCAGACTGTCTCTCTCTGTCCCCTTTGAATCCCAGACCACAACTAGGACTTTCACCACTGCAGACATGAGTCGGACGGTGGCTTTTCTGATTCTAAACTTGAAGCTGCAAAATGCTTCCACAGTACCTTCCTCACTAGCACCTGCCCACAGCCCCGGGATTCCACGTGGTCGCGGCACCTTCCTCACTACCACCTGCCCACACCCCCGGGATTCCACGTGGTTGCGGCACCTTCCTCACTAGTGTCTACCCTATGCCCCTGGGGTTCCACGTGGCCACGGCACCTTCCTCACTAGCACCTACCCACACCCTGGGGTTCCTTTGGAAACTGTACCTCCATCCCATCTAGGAAGGGCATGACCCCATGCTAAGCACTTTTTCTTCCTCATCTGAAATAACAGGTCTGGGGGGACCACCAGTTAGCGTAATGGCTATGTCGCTGGACTCCCACATAGTCCACCGTGGTTCGAGTCCCGGACCCGGTGGCTTAAACTCACGCTGGGTGCGTGTGCGTGCGTGCCCAAGATCCCTAGAGGAGAATGGAGGAGAAGGGATTGTGGCATGGCCATCCCCCCTGGGGGTGATTTCTCGCTTTCTGTCTCTCTATCTCTCTCTGTCTGTCTGGCGAGCACACGCGCCCT